CACCGGCTGAACCAGTTCAAAGGGTGCAGCACCTTCGTCCTCGTTTTGCCGGAGCAGCGCGCGCCCTCTGTCGCACCCTCTGCACTGGCTCCCTCGTTTTGTCTAGGTGTAAGCCTAGTTCCTGACGAGTTCTGTACCGGCGTGCACGCACTCCAAAGCAGGTGCAGAGTAGTGCAGCATGGCGGGCGTCCCCCCAAGGCCAGAGCAGACGACGTTGCAAATAGTTGTTCAGGGCGTTCAAAAGGAAGTTAAGGCACTTCACAATCCCGACGGGTCATTTATGACGGACGCCAACGGTTACGTCTATGAGGCATCAGGTAAGTCAGGCTGCATGCATTGCCAAAAAACGTGGTTAGCGGCCAGGAGTCGTAGTCGGTCAGCAAACAGCCTCGTAGCATTGCTTATGCTATGTCGGTATTTTTAATCTTGGTTTTCGCCCTTGCAGACGGCAAGCGCGTTACGTTGCGGTTCATGGCAGGGAATCGTGAAAATGACCCCCCTCCGGCACAACCGCCGACGCCTTCTCCTGCCTGCGACGGCGACGTTGACAGCGATGGGGCTTTAGCCGCATTTCCAGCAGCAGCCGCGTCGGCTGAAGATGTGGAAGAGCTTTGGAGCGCCCGAAAAACAAGGTTCTTCATCGCCAAATACTCGGAAATGAAGGACTTGGTGGGAAAAACCAGGGCACTTCGGTATGTCATCCTATGTCCAAAATTATTTGCAGCTTTTTATTATTCCGTTTCACTCTAGGCAAGCACCAACAAGATAAGGGCGCATGAAGTTCACAATGGCGATGGTTATTGTTGCCTACATTTTACTGCCAGCAATTTACATTTTACTGCCCCCCCCCACTGAAAAAAAATTTTGGCTATGCGCCTGACTGTGACATATACGTTTACATATACACACAAACAGTATGTATAGTCACGCACATATATACACAACGAAGGCATTCGTAATGTTTCATTAAGTCAAGTGATCTTCAAAAACAGCGACGGTGCTTTTGTGTTGGGCATTGCACAACCGCTGTCTTGCCGAAAAGGTGCAGCACCTCCAAGCTCAAGCCATGTTGCAAGTGTAGTGCTGCCTTGAGAATTTGCACTAGAGGGAATTGCATGTTGTTATTCTGAGGCACATCTCTAGCAAGTCTCGCCCTGCAGTCCTTGTGTCTTCACTGTCTGTCCGCATTTCTCTCGCACTGCCACTTTTCAAGATGGTGCAGCTCATTGTTAAAAGAGATATGCTTCTTGACACGTGCTACCCTATCTTTGAACCTAGACTGCGCCGTCGTGTCAGCAAACAAGGTTGCGCAGCTGCATGTTTTACAATGCAAAGACAGGTTAGAATATGGCTGTCTCCTTAGTGAAGCTTTATGATCCAAAAGAGTGATTTACACAATGTTCAACTTCTCCAACATAATGCTTCCCGCACAAAAAGAACGTTCGCAGTTATCAGAAGTGTGTGAATAGTGAATTTCGGAACCTAATCAAGTAAGAGTCAAATAGTAATGGCACCAAATAGAATACAAATAGTAATTGAATACTGTTTGAATAGTAAGTAGACCATTTTCAAAACAGCCTTAGAACAGAACATTTTATTTGAAACAAATAGTCACAAACTTTCGACAAAGGCCATTACAGTCAGTTTGAATCTACTCAAAATACCACAATTACGAAAACTAAGGTAATCTCGTATGCAGCAGGAACTAGAATATTCGTAACATTTTGTAATTGTAGGTTCAACTACGGCATTGACTAGCGTTATCAACGTGAGACTTTGTCACCTCACTTTAAATAAAATTGGGACACAAAAACAAAACAATTTACAACCAAACATTGCAGATACAACTAAATATGTAACGGAGCAGATCAACCCGTCATCACAACATGGCCTGCGCACTAAAAGCGGATAACAATGGGCGTTGAAATTTACATCTGCAAGAACAATTTACGCAAACGCAAAACTTGTATCTGTTGCTAGTCGTGAAGCTGCAAGCACTCGTAGTTCCCACCTTTGGTTATTACAAGACGAAGACAGGAGCTGATAAATGCGATACAGCTAAAGTGCAGTAAAAATTGAGCAAGAATGGAGCTTTCAGAAGCGCATTCATTCGACAATCAATATAGTGTAGGTAGTCTTGCAAAAGCTTGGGCTGCGTACAGGTCACATTAGGGATTGAAAGAATGACTTGTAGCTGTTTCGTTGTTTTGGGGTTCTCCCGCCAGTGCCGATTATTAAAAGAATATTTGTTACTTAGAATATGTGCAATTCGATTCGACTTAGGAACCGAATACAGTGCTGTTTGATTCATTATCCAAAATTTTCGAATAATCGAACATCCCTAGCAATTATACCTGAAAGCTACACATATGAAGTACTAAGGAAAGGTTCATGTGCTACTGCAAGACTTGGGTCACGTTACGTCGCTTCCTTCTTTCCTACTAACTGTGCTTTGCTTTTTTGTTTAGCACAAGAAGGCTTCTGTGGAAGAAGTTGGCTGAGGCCATCAATACGGAGTTCTTGTGCAACGTGACTGCCACACAAGTGGAAAACAAATGGAAGTCGCTGGACAGAGCATAAAAAAAGTCAAAAAAAGACAACAATTCTTCAGGTCACCACCGTGTGAACTGTGAATATGAAGAGTAAGTTACGATTGTGTCTTCATATCTTCAGTGATTCTCATAGTGTCTATTACAGAGAGCTGGCAGAAGTCTTGGAAAAAGAACATAGTGTAAATCCAAGGCTGCTCTTGGAGCCTGGAAAAACAATCCTGCCTAGTGCAAGTCCAGAGTAAGTAAAATTACTTAATTTGTGCTGTAGCCTGGAAATGACATGGCACCTGTACAATTACTTTCAACAGCACCAGCATCACTGAAGCACCTCAAGATGCAGCAGTCCCAGTCGAGTGCAACACAGCATCCAAAGTTCGGAGCAGCACAACGCCAAAAAGGAAGCGCCAGAGTAGGTCCCAAGTCACGCCGCTCTTGGAGGCATTAGAAAAAATGCAAGCTTCGAGAGCTAAGCAAGAGGAGGCAGCAGTGAAACAACTGGAGGAAAGAAAAAAATGGGAAGAGGCAAAGGCAAAGCGGCATGATGAGCGCATGCAGCGATTCGATCGGTTGATCGACGTACTCTCAAATAAGGACGGGTTATAATATGGGCAATAAACTTTTATAACACTAGCAGTGTCTACTCCATCTAATTTGTTAAAAAAAAACATTGCTTCTAGACGCGGCACCCCACTTCGCAAAACATTTGCACACTGAATAAATCGCGAAGCAAAGATGAACTTCTAGCACTGTTCCTTTGCAATGAACTCTCGCAGAGACTGACTGTAGCCTGGCAGACTGCAATCAAAATCTCCTTCACTTTCATCATTGCCCACATCTTCTTCTTGGGGAAGCGTTGCAAGTTCCTCAAGGAAGTCCCTTTCATCGTTGCACATGTTGTGTAGCACACACGCAGCCATAACTATATAGCAGCACTGTTGCACACTTTTTGCATCAACAAGGTAGAGCCTCCTAAAACGCTGTTTAAGCAGGCCGAAGGTGTTCTCAATAAGCACTCGTTGTTGACTGTGTCGTTTATTGAAGCTCTTTTTCCACGTAGGAAAAGAACTTCCATTGTCCTTGAATGGGGTCATGAGCCATGGCATCAGTGGATATGCACTGTCACCCAGTATATAATTGTCTTCACATTCCTGAATTGCGCGTGCAAAGAAGGGGCTCTCCCTCAGGACACGGGCGTCGTGAACCGAACCTGGAAACCCAATAAACACGTTCAGCAACTTGTTCCTGTCGTCGCAGATTCCTTGCAGGATTATCGAAGGCCACTTTTTCCGGTTGAAGTAAGACTGCGTAGATTCGCTTGGAGTGAGTATCCCGATGTGTGATCCATCGATACAGCCGATGGTGTTTCTTGGGCCCTTGCCTTTACTTTTGGCGAGGAAGCCGTTCTTTATGCGGGTCACTTCCGCGCTACTAGGCCAGCAAATTATCTCATCGCTAATAGCGTGTAAGAAGTGAACGACCCGTGTCACACAAACATGAACAGACGACTCGGTAACATCGAATTTGTCGCCTATGGCGTACATAGATATTTGTGAGCCTAGGTACACAAGCGCTATGAGGCATGTTTTTTCGGCACTGATTTGTTGGCGGCCTTGCACTGCCCTTGGGTAGAAGGCTGAAGTCTTGAACTTGGCCCTGAAACTATCAAAAGTCTCCCTGGACAGCCTGAAGAGGCGCTTGAATTCATACTCATGGTACCTGCCGATAATGCTTTCGTACCCGGGTACACGGTTGGCATCGTCGCGCACCAACGCGCACGCGACCAAGATGCACGCATCGTCGTACTCATCGTCGCAGTCACTGCAAACGGCACCGCTGACGGAATCGTCGTCGCTGCTCGAGTCCAGCAATTCCATCGCAGTCACAAGAAGTGCCATCACGGCCGTGTATTGATCGGACAAGGCGGCGGAGGCGGCTATTTTAGGCTTACACTACAAGGTGTTCTCCGGCCTGCACTCACGTCAACTCACGCCTTCGTTTTGGCTGTAGCCGTCGCGCGCTAGTGTCGGCTAGTGCCGAGGCGTGGTTGAGGCTGCACCTGCACTTGCTCGACCGGCGCTGCACGCTCACTGCACCGCTTGGCACCGCTTTTTCTGCACCTGCACTTTTCTGAACTAGTGCAAGCCAAATCGAAGATTCCTAAGGTTTCATGAAGTATGACGTAGCCAACAACAGCAACAAACTGCGGCATCTTAAATTAAAAAAACAAAACAAGCAAAGTGCTGCACACTCGTGGTAGAACATGGCCATAGATTAAAATAAGCGTTATTTTTTATGAAAGCGAAATAAAAACTATTGTACAAAACGCTTTGCATTCATCGTGATTTTGGCACATCTGTGTAGTGTCACGTATAAACGGTGGCCCCAGCCAGCACTGGCGGCTGCACTGCTGCAAAGCTGCAACCAGGTGGCAACACCATCATGGTGCGTGCTTGGTCTCCCACGCGAAAACAAGGGCGATTTAAACGTGATGCCGCTGCTCCGGCGCAATGTGCCATGCCGGGACCACGCTGTAAACTCATAGGAAAAGCTTGTGCTGTGGTAATATGTAGAAACTGTGATGGAGACATCAGGCTGGGGAACTCGTCGGTGTTTCAAGTGCACGCTCCACTGTTGCATCGAGGATTCCCGTGCGTGAGGCCGTTTTCCACGCGTCGGATTCCGCAAGGGGAGAAAAACAAGCTAACCCGACAGTGCTGGTTACTGAACCTACAGAGGGACAACTTTGATCCGGGCACATCAACAAGGGTAAGTTCTCCACGGTAAACTAACAAGCGAACTCGCACGAGAGCTCACGCTATCGTGTTGCTGGCGCGAACTGTCGCAGGCTATCTCAAGTAGCCAACTGGTTTTATTGGTGTGCCTAATGGATACTCAAAGACTGTTGCTGCGTCGTATTAACCCTGTTCGTATTAACTATGTCGTACTAAAAGTGCTACCCAAGTCGCATTTTGAAATAGGCAAAGTTGAATCTCTTTTGCCGTGGTCTCATTTTACATATGTCTGTTTTATATGTGCGTGCAACGAAACAGGTGCCGACACGACAGGACATAATTGTTTGAAACATTTAAGGCCGGAATTGTTGTTTGCGTGTTTTATCTCTAACACGCATGGCATACAATGCCGAGACAATACAGCCAATCTGTAGTTGCCTGCCATACATACAATACCACCATTCACGTCATGTCAAAATGTGGAGTTCGAATTTTTTTACACGCGGTTTTGTGGCCCCTTCAGACAACATAACATTGAGTTATGTGAGTGTATTAAAATGAAATCGACTGCAGCGTATTGCTGCTGTCTACTTTTGCATATGCGGTTGTTCTCAATGAGAACCATTAAGCGATACTCACGTGCCTGCCGTTTGTTTATTTGGCTTTTCCCGTTATTATGGTAAATGTAAACTGTTACTACACAAGTAGCCTTTCTTTTTTTCAGTATGCCACTTTGTTAATGGGCAGCCAAGCAATGAGAAATCCTTACCCAATGCTTCATCTTGGAACATAAGTGAGACCTGTGCAACTTTCCCCAGTTTGTTCAATCGTGTAACTTCTTGCTGCTCGTTAAAATACAGCGTCATGTGTGACACCAGCTTTCATAGAAAATGTGCTCCAGACTCGTGACTTGAGTGGCACTAACACTCCCAGGTATACATAGTGTTCATGTGATGTCACTTCCGCTGTTGTCGCCCTCTCCCGCCATGCCTTGGTATCAGTATCTACGGCAGTTCACGTGTTGCAGCGCAGTTTGTTGGGGGCTCGTCATCTGTTGCTGTGTACGCTGTTGAAAGGGAAGCATTGTGTTTTTTTGTTGTCGTACTTTAACGAACTCATCGGATCAGGAAGGCCTCGTTTGTTCACTCGATACAAGACGAAAAAATCAAGATGTGCGACACGTATACCAGCCACCGTGTACGCCAGCTGCCCGCCAAGACCTACAAGGGCCCATTATCTCGCTTTCACTACAAACACCACAAATCGCCTGGCCCAAGAACAAGTGAAAGCCCAAAGTCTATCGGGCCGCAATTTTAAGAGTGGATGAGCGAAGCGCAGCAGTTCCCATCGAAAACGAGTCGTGCAGAGCTAGGCAAGTTTACAAGAGATATAATATTAATATATTGCTGCAGCCCACGCCACAAAAGAAGCAGCGTCCCCCTGTCCCCGTCCCCCCAAGTGTTTCAAACAGTGCTGATGTTGAGCCTGTTTGATTGAAATTTGTCGAAACAGCCAAAGAAAATATTATGCGAGGCAGACAGAGACTTTGCGTGGTGCATGCAACGGTAATGCCGGTCGTCAGTTTTTTTTTTTTTTTCGCGTATGTTTTGACACCTTTTTAACCTTGTATTTAACTTTTTTTGTACATTAATGTACAGTGGAGTTCCTGAAAATGATAGAGACCATGTTAGGGAATTAATTGACCAACTTTTCAAAATCCTGACCCCCCCAACTCGAACCGATCGGCTATACTTCAAAGTGAACTAATATTGTTTCGCATCCATTTTCACAGTTTGTTTCAATGCAATACCCTAATTTTTGCGATCGCCATCACGATTTTAGCCGCCTCCCTGACTCGCTGATTGTGCACGCGGTGGTCGCGGACAAGTTCGTATGTACATCAGTATATTGGTAAGCTATCTCGGTTTGCAGGTAAGTGCTTGGCTATAGCACTTACCCGGAATAAAGTGACGCCTGAAGACGCAAATATCACCGACTTTCTTCAAGTAGTTTTTTTGTTAATCCACGCCATCCAAACCCGCCAGTACTTTTCGGAAAATCGCAATGTGCGTTCTCAATTTTGGGTAATAACTTTCGGCGAAGAAACACCCCGAAGCTCTGCTCCCTCTTTGGGGACTACTAAATCAATTTGCCTCACTAGCAGCCCTCAAACTTGCATCGTGAAACAAAACTAAATGGGCGCAAGCACGAGGAGACAACACGGCAACTGTAGGCGACGAAGTCGGTAGGTACCCGGGCATGTCAGCGGCGCATTTTGGAAGTGACGAAGTGGTGCTGCGTGACGCACGTGCACACTATGTATATACATAGGACATAAACCGAAGGTCGCGTGTTCAGCTCTTCCTCGATTGCAAGTTGTCTTTTCATCGATGTTACTTTCCTCACATTTATATCATAATTGCTTCAGTGCAGTTAAAACAGCGCTATTAATGTCCCTCTTACATACCTTGGCTTCGCTTTCTGGGAAACTACACCAAAGACACAGAGGAAGTGAAAAAAACAAAACAAAAAAACAGCCCAGGCACATCTGAGATTTTTGTTGAAAACGTGAACTGTATAAAGGAAGAAAAAACCACATGTTTATGCTTAAGTACCACAAAATTCTACATTTGTGCATCAAGATATAGCACTCTGCTTGTTAAAAAAAACAGCAATGCGCTTGTGCTGTTCTTTTCTCAACATTTTTGCGAAGTTTCCTTGACAACAGAATACAACTCGTACAACAGTCTATTCACTATGTGTTGGTTTTAATCTAGGTTGCATGATGAAACAAAAGAACTACTCCTTAATAATCCTTCTTTTCATTCATTCTTGCCTTTGATGTTTTTTAAAATGTCCCTTGATGTTTTGTTTTTTAGAATGTCCCTTGCAAGGAAAGAAGACAAGTCATGCGGCATCATACCACCCAATCTCAGCTGTGGCCCGGTGGTCTTTCAACTGACAACAGCCCACAGCACTCCACGGCTCATGAGCCTAATGAAGTCTTTTCTGTAGAACTTTCTGGCGATGACACCAATGACAGCCTCCCGGCCAGAAATCGCCTCAGACCTGGCAATGTCATTTACGAGCAGGCCTTCAGGTATGCCATACACTTTGTTTTAGATTAAATGTGTGATGTGGCATTTTAACCTCGGAGTAATTTTAGTGATATAGCCGCAGCAATTTGTCTGCTTACAACTAAGCAGTTTCACATCTAATCCCATGAATTCAAGCATAACTTCCCTAAAGTTGCAAGGCACCAATGCCGTGCACTATGTGTGAAACAACGCGTTGCTATGTTATGAATTGAAGCACTGCCAGTCTTGTGAAGAAACTTGTATCTTTTAGCCACGATATATGCAGACGAGTCCTTTGCAGTCACAATGCAATCATTGCTGCAGTAGACCTGTTTCAATCTGATTTGTATCATCTTACTAGGGTAGAATGTCTCGTAGATGCATGAATAATGAAGACCTGAAAATATAAGTATTTCACTGAATTACACTGCAATGGTGGCCAGTGTTCCATTCATATTAGCTGTGCTTGCACACGTGCAGTGCCTGGGGCTGTAAACAGTGAAGTACGAATGTTATATACCACACTTCACTTTTTCTCTTTTGCTGTTATTTTCGGTGTAGCAATATGTAGGATGTCAGTTTTCATTCATTAACCACTTGTCTCCTCTATGTGGGTACACCATATTTTCGTATATAGGTCTGATGGCTAGACAAATAAAAAAAAATGTCTCATATGATTGCAATCAGAGTATGCACATTACTAAATATTTTAGCGTTTTCTTATGCATGATTTCGCACATTACACGTGTATTAGTAGGCAAAGTATGTTACCTATGCTTGAGAATTACTGTATGAAATATTCAAAAAGGGTAGATCACATCAAGGGACCCTGAACTGCCCCTAGGGCTTAGTGAAAACACATCCTGCGAACAACAGACACTGCCATGAGAAGCTCAAATTCTGTGGTTGTGTATGAGCTTACAAGTTTAGTATTAAGTTCCCACGCTCTCGAATGCCCTCTCTTCATACAGTGGCTCCATCCTCACTCTCTTCATAGCTGCCAGTGGCTGCTTTATTCTGTCATTTAGCATGTTCCTGCTGTTGACCGATAGCTTATATGAATCAAGGACGGGGCTTGGATCAGATGCGCTGAATGTCGTAGGGTTGTTGCTATAGGTCATAGGGTTACTGCTCTATATGAACGTCAGAGCGCTGCTGCTCTATATTGGGCTGAAATTACGCAGTAGTATAACCAGTGAGCATTGGAATCGCACTCTGAGTGTGTGCATGTGTTTCAGGGTTCATGTTAAGTGTATGACTTAAAGGGGCGAGGATTGTTGTCTTTGCATAGCTTCCAACGTGCTCCTTAGAATAAGAAAATAGCAAGTACTTATAGTGTGTGGCAAGCCCATCTCCTCTTGTTCCTGATGGATAAAAGTTTTTTTTGAAGCCATCGATTTGTAAGGCAACGAATTGCTATACTGAGGTCATTTTTTTATCACTAAAAGTAGTAGGTCACAACCCCCTTTAATGAGAATAGAGTAATGCATGCTAGATGTTCTACTTATGCATCTTTTTTATTTTCAGGGTCTACAAAAGCGCCTTGGTTCCAACAAAGTGTTTATCCTGTGACTGCAGTTGTAAAGGCATCAGAAAAATGGACAAAGTTGTGCCAGCTCAGCCAGAGGAGGACTACAACACGTACCATGCCAACGTACAGGTTCTTGTAAAGCAGGAAATTTTTCAGCAACTGGGGGTCAGTCAAACTGATTTAACGGTTTAATCTAGTCTTGCACCAGACGATTGCTGATTCTTTGCTGCTTTGTCAAAAAAATGCATTTGATGCGCTGTCAAGCACTTTCGTCGGAGGGTGTATAGTCTCCATTTTCTGTGGCATCCAAATTGCTGCTAATGATGATGCAATTTAGGTTGCGGCTTTTTCCCTTGGACCTTGATAATCTAAACATGTGCAGTGAGCAGAATTTACTGCTTCGTTGTGTTACAATTGGCAAAATTTTCTTGAAAGTCCTTAATTTTCTGGTTGCCTAGAGACACGATTTTGGCAAACTCTTCCCTGCCGAGAACTTAGCTGATTTCTTGTCAACTACTTGCATAATGTATTGCTTTAAGCTTGAGGGTCCTGACAAGCTGTTTTATCAAAGCAGGATACACAGGCTGCGTGAATTACAATATTGGCTAAGTGAAGACTCCTTACTTCTCCTTTTATAATCAACCGGCATAATTTATGTAATCCTTCATTTTTTTCAACATGACTCATGGTTCGATATGGAATTTTCATACTTATATCAAATCGGTGATACAGTCAACGAAGGATAATTTGGATTCCAGGGGTAAAGTAAACAAGTCCGAATTACCGAATGTCCAAAATAGCGAACGCATCAGAAAAAAAAATATTATTTTATTCACACTTCAGTGTGCCTGGGGGTGAAAAAAGTTATCAATGCGTTGGTGCATGCACTTGTGCTTTCGCACAACCTCAGCTAAGATCGTTGCTGTTTTTCCTCGAGGTTGTCGTGCTGTAGACGTCTGTCAACCCGGCTGCCTCAACAGCAAGTTCGATGACTTTGTCCCGGGTTTCAACACCCAATTTTGAGGAAGCTATTAGAAGTTAAAAAAGAATCGACTGCTCCGCCTCGGTTAAACAAAAGAACTAACTTTATTTTGATATGAATCCTCGTCGCGGAGTGAGGTCACGAGAAGAGAAGGTTACCAGTCGGCGAAAAGAAGACACAAAACTTGGAAGTTTGTTCAGTGCCCATACAAGTACTTTAAAAATTTAGATTCCGAAAATTGGTTGCAACTCCCTTTTTCTCTATTTGTGCCTGATTGCACTCGGTTAGGGTCATTGATCAAGACACAGAGAACAGGTTTTTTATGACCATCAATCACAACAACATTGTGCCTAATCCCTATGCAGAGGTATCACATCTTATAATTTTTTTTACATCATCAATCTAGCTGATTACTGCGTAGCAGTTTTTTGTATTCCCTGAAACACTTGTCACATGGACTTGACCATTTTCATGCACTTTCTTTGTGTAGCAAGTTATGTAACGGCTCAGGCAGAGTTGGTGAATTTGGCATAAATTTGGAATAGTTAAATCTCTTTATAAGAAACACGTACAGGGTAAAAGTTTGTGTCTTATACGCAAGGTCTCCCATAAACAGAGTACCATTTTTTTCATTCCATATTCAGTCCATATTTCATTGTGGGTACACTGCGACTGAATGAGCACAAAAGAAGGCTACATACAGTTACAAAACATTTATTTTTCTCAATTAGTTTTCAAGCCACTTGTAAAATAGTTCTCGATAGTTGTTTGCTTCAGGGCTGTGTCTATACCATTTGTTAGTACAGCTTCTTCCAGCCTGCTGACATGGTCAAGGGCTTTTTCGCCACTGGGCCAAAGCTGTATGTGGTTGTGAACTTTGCCCAGCACTGTCATGACTTCATAAGATGTTATTGGGGGTGTACCATCTCTGCGGTCTGATACATCCGTATCTCTATCTTCCCCTTGCTCCCCTTCTTTCACCATTTGGATGATGCTTTCATCAGAAAAGTCTTCCGCCTTGGCAAGATTGTTGTCCGCTTCAACGAACTGCTGGAATGTGCCAGACTCGCAAACCTCTCTAAAGTGGCCATGATTCTGGCTCAACTGCACATTGCATGTCTTCGTCTGCAACACCCTCCTCTGTCTTCCTGCTGTAGATCAAATTTCGCTTAATGAAAACACCATGTCACAGTGCTGCTCTGAATATTCCACGAGCCTGTCAACATCTCAATAGCTGTTCTTACATTGATCGCCAATTTGCTCTTTTGCAAGATGTCAAACAGCAGGTGTTGAACGAGTCGAACTCTGTATTTGATATCAACTGCATTAATTACCCTTTGATCAAGGGTCTGTAGCACAGATGTGCAGCTTGGAGGGAAATATCGAAGCTCAACACCTTTCAACGGTGGTTGCTTCATATGGGCTGAACAGCTGTCTAGGAACAATAGAAGTCTTCTTCTTCATGGCCATCTTGCGATCAAAACTTGTAAGCCATGTCTCAGATATCATCCAAGCAGCCTTATTTGCTGTGTATTCAACACTCACTGGGTAGTTCTTTAGGCAGCAGTGGTCTTTATCTTTTTTCTTTAGGGGTGTGCAAATATCAAAATTTTTGAATACGAATAGAATATTTATGTCCGAATATCGAATTGAGTATTGAATATCGAAAGACGAATGCCTCTACAGTGTGGTAGCCCCGATACTCACTGGAGTCAAGATTACCACGAGTTAAGGCTTAGCAAGCCACAGGGCCGGGTCTATCGTCGCCTGCTCACACAAAGTGCACCGCTGTGCGTGCACTGAACTTGCAAAGCGTTCAGCGTCAGACAAAGCAGACAGTGCTCGATCTAACAAAACCCACAAGCACTTTATTGTCTTTGGCAGCGCCCCAAACACAGTATGTCTGCTCCCAGGACATGGAGAGGATGGGGCTCCCACATGCGGACGTACACCGAAGGGGAAACTGAGAGCACGTCGCAGCTGGCAATGGTGAGCTTTGACAAGCCAGTCAGGAAAAGGTTCCTCGCGCCTATGCGGCGCACTCCTGCGATGGGCAGTGGGCCTGGTTGCAAAAGTTGGGGCAAGCTTTGTACGTGTAGGTCTCCGGCAAGTACGGCTTGGCCTAGGAGGACCGCATCAAGTACTAGGCACTGTTGTGGAGCTTATCTTACAGAACCGGAGCTAGCACCAAAGGGGCCTGCCGAGGCACCCAGGCAGGCTACAGTTCAACGATTAGTAAAGAGGACGCATACGAAGGAGAATGCATGCTTACCATATGCTGCGCGAAGAGAGAAAGCCTTCTCGGCGCGTACTTGACTTGATCTCACGGCGCCATCTATCGCCATGCACTGTCACCAGAGCACGAGAGAAGGAAAGAGAGTAGCAGTATGGCGAAAATGCCTACGAAATGGTCGCAGGCGTGCCTCGGATCCCCACATCCTCCTCTCCTTGATTGACTTTATCTACCAGTCCACAAAGGCAGCCAGTCGTCGCCCATTCATGCCAAGACATCATGCAGTGGGTAACGGCTAGCCTCAGCTTAGCACTGCAACTGCTGCTTAAAAAATAATACGATAATAAAGAAAGTAATAGTCTTGAAATATACAAAGAAAGTTATTATCTGGCCTGCAGAGTTAGGAAACCGAAAAGGGGGGGGGGGGGGGGGGGCTGCACCACAAGACCTAGAGTTTCAGAAAGCGGTCAACATTCTTTGTTGCAGCACTGTCCTCTGACGGGGATCGTCACTGGTCGTTGTCCGTGGCAGCCCTGACGCCAGTGCCGGAAAATGAGGGTCCTCCCCTATTCGACATCAGCGGAGAGCCATCAGGTCTGCGTCCGAGCGCTGTCCGAGCAAGGTCGGCGCCTGCGAAGTCCTTTTCGTGGTGGCTGTCTTGTTTGCAGCCACCTTTGTGGGCGCCACGCGCAGATTACCAGTGTTGTGACTTTTGAATTAAGCAGCCGATGCACATGTGGCAGAGAAAGTCACATTGACCTCCACCACCGTGCAGTCTCGAAATAGACATGGTCTATTGGCAGGTCGTGTTGAACCCGTCTCTGGGTTTTCGCTGGTGCATCGCTGACGAAGAACCGCCCGGCACCTTCGGCGTTTGCTGCTGGCTGCGTCCACGAGGCCTTGCTGTGCCCACTTGGTGGATCTCCTTCGTCCCTCTCGGTGTGCCGTGAGGGACGAAGGAAATCCACCAAGCGGGCACAGCAAAGTCTGCCAAAGGCTGCCTTGGCGAGTCGTTAGCACACTGGGGTACATCGTTCTCAGCTAGCAGAGTCGTTCTTCTTCGAAGCGCGTGGAATCTCCGTATCTAAGCTGTGCACTCCAGCAATGAATGGCCAGTGGGCCTGCTCGCGAGAGTTAAGACAAACCTTGTATGCGTAGAGCTCCAGCAAGTACAACTCAGTGTAGTACAACCACATCGAGCACTAGGCACCGCTGTTCGGCTTATCTATGGAACAGGAGCTAGCACGAAAGTAAATACGCCTGCAGAGGATGCCCAGGCACCCATGCAGGCTACAGTCGGACGATTGCCAAAGGGGACGTGGACGAGGAAAACACTAGATTACTGTGTGCTGCACGAAGAGATAAAGCCCTCCTTGCATGCATGTGACTCCGCCGCGCAGACTCTCGCAGCCTGATACCACGCGTTGCGCCCGCACACATCGCCATCTATCACCATGAGCTGTCAAAAGAGCACGGGCGAAGAAAAGGAAGCGGCAGTACGGCGGAATTGGGCACGGGCACGCCTTTGATCATTGCAACAGCAACAAAAGTTTGTTCAGCGTATAGTTATCTAAAAAAATACATAGCAGCTTGTCAGTTAACACAACGTACACTACTATGTGGAACAAAATGTTCATGCTAGCACAATGCAGGCAAATATCACATTACAATGCAAGTTATGACTAGCAGCTATGAAGAAATATAATGACTACATGCTATCAAGACTAAATATTAGTTGCTGTATTTGCTCAAGCAGCAGGAACTCCTTCTCAATTGAAACAACCTCCCCAGCCACAGAAAAGGCACGTTTACTTGGAACCAAAGTGGCTGTTATGGGTAGGTAGTACTTGGTGCAAAGCTCTGTCAGATTGGTGTATCTGGAGGTGCCCGTGGTCTGCCATTAGTCACATGGGCCACTCTCTTTCCTTAGTAGAGTTTCTTCAAAGTATGTATTAATTTCCCGTTCTTAAATAGGCAGTGAGGCACTTACTACTTGGCTTGCCTGCAAGATTGTCAAAAGCACTCCAAAGGTTGGAGAATGGCTGCACACACTGTTGTGGCTCCTGCATTTCTGCTTCTTGCTGCGTGATTTCCAGAGCAGGGCATAGGGCAACACCTTGAAGCACCAGATCTTTCAACCACATCACCATCTGTTTGTCGGTGTTTAAATACTGTAGGCTTGAAGCGTGGGTCTGAAAACATGGTCAA